CGGAACGCGGCGGAACCGCGTTCCGGCACCTTTTTCCGGGCCGGCCGCACCGGAAATAGCCCCTCCCACACCGGAAATAGCCCCTCCCAAATTTTACTTGCATTCCTGTTCTCTAAAGGGGCGGTCCTAGGGTTTGATGAGGGCGTGGCCAGGTTTGAGTTCCGCCACCTTTTCTCCGAGAAAAAAAGCCCTGAGAGCAACACATGCAGCAGCCAGGTCATCTATTAGTCTGTTTCTGGTGTCAGGTTTGATATAATTCAAAGCTGAAGACAGCTGCTCACAAGCATAAGATGATCCAAACAAAGTAAGGAAAGCAATCTCAAGTGCTTTCATTGACTTAAAATTATTTGGCAGAGAATTCCACACTTTAAGGATTTCATTTTCAGAACTGTGCTGTCCTTTGTCATCCTTGTTTTCGCAGGATTGCTCTCAATAAGAGTAAGCCACGCTTTGGCTCCGTTTTTGCCAGGAAGGGGCTTGGGAAATGGCTTTTTCCTGGTGAAAATAAGCCTCTGGGCCCAGATGCTGGTGGAGTGAGGCAGCGGAGGGCAGAGCAGACCCTTCCCCATCTCCCCTCGCTACCCCAAAACCTCCCTTCACTAACCTCCTTTCCAGCTCTGTTTACCACCACCGCATGCAGGGCAACAAAAGAAGCTTGTGGGGCTACCGATTTAAAAAAAAAGTTCAACCAGACCTTCCAACTTTGCAAGATTTTTTTTTTTTTTTTGCGAGAAGTTGGAAGGTCAGATTGATCTTTTTTTTTTTAATCCCACAAACTTTTGTTGCCCTGCACAAAGAGAACGGAGCTGGAAAGGAGGTTAGTGAAGGAATGTGGTTGCCCTGGGGTGGGGGTCAGGATTTGGCATTGTGGATGCCCTGGGGTGTGGTGGGGGTTAGGATTTGGCATTGTGGATTGTGGAGTGTTTGTTTTGGCTAGGAAGGGGCTTGAGAAATGGCTTTTTCCTGCAAAAACATAGCCAAAGAGCAGGGGGGGCGCGCTCCGGAGGCTTGTTTTGGCTGGGAAGTGACTTGAGAAATGGCTTTTTCCTGCAAAAACATAGCCAAAGAGCGAGGCACACGTGCCAGAGAGGGCTCTGAGTGCCCCTCTGGCATGCGTGTCATAGGTTCGCAACCACTGGTCTATCGGTTATGTGTTTTCACCACTTCCTCTCTTGAAAATAGGTTGCAGTACAATATTGTAGAAAGCATGCACTGGTTTCAAGGCAGGAAGAGTGTTCCAGTCTTTCTTGATTAAATTTCACATTTATTTTATTTCTATAGGCACTGGTATTTCGTTTGAGAGCTACAAGCAATACAGTTCAATAGGAAAAACTCATATGCAAATTCAGAAGGTAAAATATGAATTAGTTTATATTAGTATTGAGATAAAGCCATTTTTACTAAAGTCTGATATTCTAATATGAAGTGATATTTATGTTTTATTCATCTTTCTTTTTCTGATATTGAAATAGATCCCAGCAAGGAAAACATTTAACATATCTGTTAAAAAATCCAAGAAAACTGTATCTGGGAAAAAATATCAAAAGCAGCTTTCCAAAGAAGTTACCACATTGGAAAGTGAAGGTAACATCTGCAGAATTTTATGTAATA